CTCTCATGGTCCTAAGAGTCACCTGTCACCACACTGAGCCTGCAGCCTGAGCCGGACAGGTGATGCTGTAATCCTAGAAGGCTGTGGACATCTCTATCATTCCAAGAAGGTACAGAAAGACCTACCTAGTAAGATTACCATAACCCTGAGAGGGTAAGAAAAAGAAATGAATTAAACCCATGATGCTGAAATTTTCCAAAGGCTTATAATAATTCTATAATCGTTGGATTTTTATGTATTTTGTTTGATGTTGTGGATAACACAAAGGAATAAATCATTTGATGTAATTCTCATTTAAATGGTGGAGAGGATGTGTTATGTCTGTAACTAGTGCCCAAGGTTTAATTTCTAAGTTTGTTTATTGGTTAAGAAGTCCCATGAACTCGGAATTGAACAAAGCAGTACTAAGGGCTCCTTTGCATGGCACATTAACAAGGCCAAAGTCACTTTCCAGCAACTGTTCAACTGTTCCTGGTACAGGCAACCAGAATACAACTTATTCTACAGCTAAGTCTGTGGGTGATGTTGTCTCAGCTTCTCCTTGTAGTTTAAGAATTATATTACACAGACTCTTAGGGTAATATTTTGTATTACCCAAAGTATCCTTAATACAGCCACAATATATAATGTTTAAAAAGGAGAAATCAATCGGTGAATGCGGTTTGTTCCAGGAATGCAAAGCTGGCTCAATCAATGTGACGCCATATATCAATGGGGCAAGGAGAAAAAAAAATCACCTGATTATATCAATTAATGCACAACAAATGTATCTGACAAAACTCAATACCCATCTACGATAAAAGTTTTCAGCAATCAAGAATGGACAGGAAAGTCTTGAACTTGATAAAGAACGTCTACAAAAAACCCTACAGATAGCATGGTATTAAGGGTGAAAAAATGAATGCCTTCACGAGATTGGGAGCAAGGCAAGGCCTTCTGCTCTCAGCACTCTCATCCAGTACAGTACTAGAAGTCCCGGCCAGTGCAGTGAGGCAAACAGATGGAGACGGAAATAAAAAGTGTCATTTATAATCACTTTAAAGATAATGAGATGTAAAAATAACAAAACACACAGAGGCCTTGTAAGCTGAAGATAATATAACCCTGATGAAAGAAATCAAAGGGAGAGACAGCCAAGCACATGAGCTGGAAGACTCAACACCGTAAAGGTGTCACTTCTCCCAAAGCTGATTTATAGGTTTAATGCAATTTCTATAAAAATCCAGGCAAGACTTTTGTAGAAACAGACAGGCTTGTTTTTTAAAAGGAAGACCAGAGGGAGATGAATCACTCTTGATCTGAGGCTTACTCTCCAATGATAATGATCAAGGCCGAGGTATCTGGTGGAAGCAGACACAGATCAATGGGACAGGATGGAGCCCAGAAATAGGACAAAAATACGCTCCCCTGACATGTGCCAAAGGTGCACACACGCGTCGGTGGGGGAAAGAGTGTTTTCAGCAAACGGTGCTGGAGCAATCAGACACCACGGGCAGAGAAGCGAGCCTCAATCCAAACTTCACACTTACATAAAAATGAACTCAAAATGGATCAAAATCAATTATATTAGGAATAAATCATAAACTATAAAACTTTTTAAGAAAACATAGGAGAAAATTTGGGGGACTTAGGGCCAAAGAGAATTTTTTATACATGATATCAAAAGCACAGCCCATAAAAGGTAAAAAATAGATAAACTGGACTTCATTCAAATTAGAAACTTGCTCTGTGGAAGACACTGTTGAGAGGATTAAAAATCAAGCTACAGACTGGGAGAGAATATTTGCAAACTAGATATCCAACAAAGGACTCGGATCTAGACTGTATAAAGAACTCTCAAAGCACAACAAAAAAGCCCACAATCCAATTAGAAATGGGCAAGAGATGAACAGACCACAGTAAATATGTGAGAAGACGGTACATCATTAGCCACCAGGAAATGCGCGGGAAACCACAAGAACATTGCCACACACCTACCGGGACCACCACTGAAATAACTCAAGCCAGGATTGTGGACAAACCATTCCACACACTGGGTGGGAACATGACAGGCACCATCACTCTGTAAGACAGGCGGGCAGTTTATTATAAAAACCAAAGCTACCTGGGCATTTATCCCAGAGAAACAAAACTGATGTTCCCTTAGAGCCTGCCCCTGAGCGTCACAGCGGCTTTCCGTGCAGTGGCCAAAAGCTGAGATGGTCCAAAGGTCATCCAGCTGCTGAAGGGTTGGTCACACGTGGTCCACACAACAGGAGTGAATGATAAATTGAGACCTGCAGCCGTGTGGATGGATCTCAGAGGCATCATGCTGAGTGCAAAAGCCAGTCTCAAAGGGTCACAGACTGACAAAGTCTGTGTACAGATTCTCAGAGTGACAAAATTACAGAGCAGGGAGCAGACAAGCAGTCACCAGGGAGTGTGGGTGGTGCCTTGGGGGGGAGGAGGGGGCTCCTTGGTGTGACAAACAATTCTGAGTCTCAACTGATCCTGCAGGTGGTTACACAAATGCAGACATGGGAGAACAGGGCACAGAATCACACACGCGTAAAATCTGGTGAAATCACAGTACTTTTCCAACACCCATTTCCTGGTTTTCACATTACTATACTACTGATGTGTAAGATGACATTGGGAAGTGGCATAGGAGCTCTCTGTATTCTTTACAACTTTCTGGGTGTCTGTATTTCAAAAACAGTTAATAAAAAAGGATAAACCAGTCAAATCACAAAATGCAAATGTGCTTGAAAACTGCCTATTCTATTACACATTCTCCTGAAGCTGTTAACATTTACTTGCAAAGACTATTTTGATGACTAGGCAGTAAACTAATTTATGAAATAATCATATCGAATATGAAAGCCAGCTTTTAAAATTTACGCCATCGCCACAGCGCATGTTTTGACAATGGTGAAGCGGGACTCACATATAGTTCAAGTTTGGTTGGCCTGTTAAGTGTTCTAAAGGATGCAATTCTAACTCCATCTAAGTTGCTGACAGCGGAAATCTCATTTTATTTATTTTTTTAATTTAGTCTTTTTCTTTTTTTTTTAAGCTGAGCCATCCTGCCACCTGTTGGCAGCTCAGCGGCTGCTCAGCTCAGGCCAGCAATCGAACCGCTGCTGCTCAGAGCTCAAACTCTTGAGCGAGCTCTTAACCAACTGAGCCACTCAGCCGGCCCCTAGGAATCTAATTTTAAAAAACAACTTCTGCATGGGGAAGTTTAATTAGAAAAACAGTGTTGGAACACAGTAACAAAGTATTCAGAGATAAAGAACTCACAAAGTGGTGAGACACACTGAGTAAAAGCATAAGGACTTAACAAGTCTCTCTCACACACACACATACACACCTAATACATGATGTCCAGTGTGAGCTCTCAATCTGTATGCTGAGATACTGAATGGAAAAGTTTATTTGGTGACAGAAATGGGAAATTGTCCAACCTCACTATCAGCACTGAGTTGGGAAAAAGGTGCCTATTAAATCGCCCTTCTTCTCCCTCCCTGCCAAATAACACCGAGTGCAGGGAAGTATGTGATGAAACATGTGAATGGAGAAAGACCTTCTAGAAAGTTCGATTGCCATGTGAAGCAAGAGCCTGACCTTCCACCTATGCACTTTCCAGAACGGCCTTTGCAGAGAGGTGGCTGCACCCCTCCTGCGCAGAAAAGTAAACGAGGGTCTGTGTGGCTCTACCTGAAACCAGCTTCACCCCACCTTGTTCACTGCAGTGTGGGACGCCTCCACCTGCTTTCTCTGAATACTTTTCACTGACCGTCTAAACAAGTGTTTACTTTTTCCCATGCGTTAAACTTAGTGTGGCAATATGGGTCAGGGCAAGAGTACAGATGGAAGCCACCCAGCACAAGCAACAGTCACAAGCTGACCCTGCTGTGCATGTCCACAGGTGTAAGCGGATGAGTGAAGCCCCCGGAGGAGGCCCTGCAGGCAGGTCCCCTCCCCCTGCTTCTTGACGCCCCCTGAACTGGTATAACACAGGAAAGTTGATTTCAGGTAATAAAGATATGGGGCCATCAACTGCCATAAAAAACCACCTGATTCTTCATTCTGCAGGTTAAACCTACTTTTGCTCAAACGCTAAACCAATAAAATCGGCTGTTTCCTGTTGCACTTGTCAGGGGCACCTTTCCCCTATTGGTCAGCCTCCTACACGAACCAGGAATCGCTGCTTGGCCAGCCGGCTGGGAAACCCCTCTGCAGTTTTGTGTTAGCAACATAACACCCAATTGCAAGTTCAAAGAAAAACCAGGTCCCCCTCCAAGTGCAACCACCGTGTTAGGCACAGCACTGGCACTTGTCCCTGTTCTCAAGACCTTTGGTGGCGGGAGCAAAGATGACAACGAGGAAAGGACTCCGTGTGGATGCTGGGAACAGGCCTATCGGCAGCGCGAAGGGGTGGGGGGCGAAAATTCCTCCAGGGAAGGAGGCCTCGAAGAGCGGCGTCCAGCAAGATGGGAGAATAACTCATTTATCCCGCCGGGAGGGCGCGGTGAGACCGCGGACAAGGAAGCCGTCTGAACGACTCCCAAGGGGGATGACTAAGTCTCCGAGGAAGGAGGCGGTAACTAGTTATTCAGAGCAAAGTCGCCTGCTCGCTGGGGGCGGCGGCCGGTCCGCCAACGGGGCCTCGGGGCCAGCGAGCGGGGTCGGCGCCCAGTGCAGAGGCGCCTTCGGGGATCAACGCGTAGTTATCAAGCCCCTGAGCGCTGCCCAGGAGGGCCGGACCCCCTAAGCTGCCCACCACGCGCGGTCTCGGGGAGGCCGCCCAGCAGCCGTCCCGGGGGCCGGAGCTCGGGCGGGGGTCGGCCCCCTCAGGCCCGGCCCACGTCGGGGAGACGCCACATTCCTGGGGCGGCGACAGCGGCCAGCGCCTCCCGGAGTCCACACCCGGGGCAGGGGAGGGCGCCCCTGTCCTCCGACCCCGGCTCTCCGCGACCCCAGCCGGCGGGCCGGGCCGAGCGGCGTCGCGCACTCACCGTTCGTTGCCGCGGGCACCTGCGGGGCCGTCCCCTTGCTGGGCCGAGCCCGTAGACCCCGCTGCCCCGCAGCTGCTCGCCGTCGCTAGCCGTTCCCCGGCGCCGCGGCCGTTCCCCGCCCCATGGCCGTCCGGACCGCGGCGCCGGCCCGCCAAGCAGCAATGCCGCCGCGCCGCCAGTGCGCACGCGCGCTCCCGCCCCGCGCATGCGCCCCGCCTCGTCCCGATAGCACCACCAGGCGCATGCGCACCGCCCACCCCAGCGCAAATGGGGCGGGCCGCACTCACCCCCCGGGGTTGGGGGCGGTGGCTGGGGGGCCAGCGGCTGGATCCCTGCTGTCCGTGGACCACCGCCCTTGGGCTCCACTCTGTCGCGTCGGCAGCATGTCGGCCTGCACCCCCTGTCCCTGACCCCTGTCGCGCCCCGCCCCCCTCCACCGCAGGCCAGGCGGGCTGACTGCAGGCCCCTGTGAGTGGGGACCACATGTCCAGGATTCCATGACTACCAGGGTGTGCCTCTGCTTAGAAAGAACACGCTTTGGGAACCAAAACTCGGTGTGAGCAGCTGGGACAGAACCTCGTCCCTAGGCTTCCAGCACAGCTGGAGGAAGCGGGCTTCACCCACCTCAAGCAGTCTGGCCTGGCGGGTGGTTGCACGCCACCCGCACCTCAGAGGCCCCGGGCCTGCCAACGCTGTTTTCGGCTGCCAGCACCCCCGCGCCCACCCCAGGACTGGGGGGCCCAGAGAGGAGGAAGGGAGCCAAGGCCACAGTGCCCACCATGTAGCGTCTGGGGGAGGCGCCTCCCCCAGTCCAGGCACCGGTGGGTTCTCCCAAGGCTTGCTGAATTGAAGGTTACCCAGAAGCCGTGTCCCAATCTTGACAGGCTCTCGTCTAGCGAGCAAGCCGCTGCAGGGTCACTGTTAGGAGATGAACAGGGCAATGCGCTGTGGGGTGCTTTGTAACCTGCCTAGCTCCCCGAGTGCCAGCCATCATTCCTTCTCTACTGTGGGGTGTCCCCCACACAGAGCTCACGGACCCTCTGCAGCAGCCTGGCCCCCAGCTTTCCCCAGGCCCCCATACCGGCTGTGGTTAGTCTTCTCCAGCTGGGACTCCTGATCCTGTGTCCAGAAACCTGTAACACTGCTGTCACAGAAAAGGCCACGTCTCAGCGCTGTCCTGGGACCAGTGGGCAGTGGGGTCACCAACGGTGGGTGGAAGGGGGAGGGGCGAGGATGATGGGAATTTGAGGGGATTTCTCAAGCTCTGCAACTTCCTCCTCTGGTTGTTTTGTAAACACAGCTGGTTCCCCAAAATGACCAGCTTGCGCCCACAGGAGAGGCCTTGGAGTTGCCCTTTTGGATGTAATCTATTAAGCATGATCCAGCACTGGCACTGGGCCAGGCCTCCCAAGAACCATCTAGAGCAGGACAGTCTGTAGAGAAGGCACCAAGGCAGGCACGAGTGTGGGCAATGTCACTAGCCAAGGTCCCATAGCAGCACCCTTCCTGTGTACCCTTCTCTAAAGGGAACTTGTGCAGGTGTGTGCCTGGAGTCACAGAAACCCTCTGTCCCCCCTGGACCGTGAGACTTCAGGCAGGAGCGCTTCCCCATTTCAGAGATGAGTAAACAGGCTGCAGCTTCCTTAAGCTTCTTCTGGTTGTGCAGTTTTTCCCAGGAGGTCCGGGTCCCACCCTGGGTAATCACAGGCCTGGAGTTCACACCCTGCCCCTAAGGGCTTACTGGCAGAAACAAGGCCAGTGCTGGGAGGGGTGCCTTAGGGCACCTGGAAGGTTCCCAGAGGTGTGTCTCGGGCTGAATCCAAAGGCTGAGCTGGCTGTGGTGGGGAGAGAAAAAGGCCAGCATCGAGACAGAGAGTGGGGTGGGGGTGGGATGGATGCTAGTAAGGCCAGTTTGGGCTGGGCATAGGATTGGGGGGTGGGGTCTGCCTCAGAGGGGCTCAGGAGGGCCAGCCGAGTGGCTCAGTTGGTTGAGTGTGAGCTCTGAGCAACAGGGTTGCCCCTTCGATTCCCACAAGGGCCAGTGAGCTGCGCCCGAGCTGAGCTGCGGCAGAGCTGCCAACAGGTGGCAGGATGGCTCAGCTGGTGAGAGCACGTACTCCTAACAACAAGGTTGCCGGTTTGATTCCCGCATGGGATGGTGGGCTATGCCCACTCGCAATTAAGATTGAATGGCACCTTGAGCTGAGCAGCCGTGAGCTGTCGAGGGGCGGCCGGATGGCGACTGGACGGCGACTGGACTTGGAGGTGAACTATCTGCGTCCTCCACAACTAAGACGGAAGCACAACAACTTGGCTGTTCCCCTTCCCCAATTCCCCAATAAAATCTTTAAAAAAAAGAGGGGCTCAGGAGTCTGGAAAGGCAGAAAGTCTTCCTTCCCGGCCAGCATGGGTAGCATGCCCATGCTGTAACCTTCCTGCAACCAGAGCAGCAGCCTCTTAACATAATTTGGTGTTTCTTTGTATTCTTTTTGTTAAATGTGGCTCCCATATTGTTTAAGCTTCACACTCCAAAACCTGGATCCACCCTCTTGTGAGAGTTGAATGATGGGGCACAGCAGGGTTGATGGGGTGCGAGCAGGAAGCCTGGGCCATGGTGGCGTGGGATGGGGCTGCCCTCCCAGAGCTGGGCTCATTGCTGGGGGGGGGGGGGGGAGAGGGCATCCTGGATTTTGAATGCAGTTGGAAGGGCTGCCTGGCTTGGGTTCAGGCAGGGGGTCCCCCAGGCTCTCAGGTGTGGTAGAAGGAAGGGGTGTTCCTCTTCTGGGTCCTGCTTCCAGCAAAGGCTCCCTGTGGCAGAGGTGTCTATGCAGAAGTTAACTTGTTTGTCCCCCAGCCTCTGGCCTCCAGCCAGCATGCCTAGGACAAGCCCGGTCCCTTCTGCCTGGCTTTACCTAGCCCTCCCCAGGGACTAGTGTTCAAAACTGTCCACTTGGTAGTTTTAGGAGACGGGGTGAGAGGACAGCCTCTCTTCCTGCAGACCAGCTAAGCGCCAGGCACACAATTCTGTGGGAGCAAAACCTTCACCTTGCGAAGGGACCCGCCCTGCCTGGAGGCAGGAAGAGCACTGGGAAGGAAAAGCCACCTTTTCCTTTTTGGGGTGGGCTGTGTGTGTGTGGGTGTCTTTGATGGTGAAGCGTCCTGCGATGCCTACTCTATCTAGCACCTCACACATAACAGACTCCCTGAGCTCTCACAAGTCCTCTAGGAAGCAGGTGCTTTTGTGGTCAGTTTACCCAGGGAATCAGGACACAGAGAGGCCATGCAACTTGGCTGAGATCACACAGCAAGGAGAGGAGCAGTAGTTTGGCCCTGGCTCTGGGAAAGCCACAGCAGGACTCCAGGCCTGAGCAGGGCTTTTCTCATCCCCTGCCAATTGGGAGGAGCCCGGAGAGCAGTCCCCAGGGCAAGTAGGGGAGGGCCGAGCAGAGCACGCGCGCATTGCTGAGGACCCCCTTGTTGATGGCAGGGCAGAACATGGACACTTGCATCCCTGACCCCAGGAGTGGGGCCATATTGAGAGCCATGCCCTGGGAGGTGGTGGCGGCTGCTGTCGTCCACCCACACTCTCCAAGGTTTTGTATTTCACTTTGGTAGCACTCATGTTTTCTTCCAAGATGCTGTTGTTTTTATTCAGGCTGAGATGAATACTGCAGTCAGAAGGGAAGGCTGTCTCTGGAGTAATGTCCTCAGCTATCTCAGGGAGTGAAGGGGGAGTGAAGGCCGCACCAGCCCAGGACAGCACAGGACGGCTGGGGTGGTGACAGGTGGACAGGGCTGCTGGCCACGTGCTGCTCTGACCATCCTTTCATGGAATCCTTGTGATGGGGACAAGAGATGGCAGGAATGGGCAGCCCAGGGGCAGCGGAGGCCCTGCCCAGGTGACCAGCCAGCCAGGCCTGATGCGCAAGAGAAGGCGGCCGCCTCCATGGACTGAGCGGCCGCCAAGAAGCAGCCACACCAAAGTCCCTCATGTCCAACTGCTTTATTACATCTTAAATAACAGTACAGTTTAATACAGTATCTATCTTGCAGCCAGCTTCCTTGCAGTACAGACGGTAAAATTAAATACGAAAGGTGGAAGGGTACAGGGAGCAGACAGCTTAGAGGTGTGGATGGGACAGGCTGGGGCTCCCGCTGACTCTGCAGGCCCAGGCCTCCACGTGTCCGCACTTCTGTACAGGATGCTGCAGACGGACAGACAGAAGCCACTACTGCTGTGATGGGAGTGCGGGGGCCGTCACTCTGCTGTCCAAATGCTGTTGCTGGCCAGGGCTCGCCACAGAACCAGAGTCTGCGTCCGCTGCCCAGGCTCACTCCGCGGTACACACAGGCCGTGAGGAAATTACGAAGAGGAAGGCCGGCTGCCCGCCCCTGCCTCCGCACCCCCAGAATCCAACAGCGATCATTTGGAACAGGACTTGTTTAAAGAAATGAAGAAACAGTGACTTATCCTGCTACTCAAGCGTGTAGAGCTGCGGACTGTACTGCTTCCGGAGCGTGCAGAGTCGCGACAGTAAGTGGAGAGAGAGCCGCAATGATTACAATTCAGAGGTTATTTCTTAAAAGAAAAAGAACACCTAAGGACTGAGTCCTATATGCACATTTGAGCATTTCTACAGCATGCGAGTCTAAGAGTTCACCCACCCAATATGGCAAACGACCAAATTTTTTAAAATTTAACTTAGAAACTTTGAGATCATTATTTTCAAAACATTGATTTGTACATGGTTTCATACACAAAGAGTTGACTGACTGACTATCCGAGCACAGGATGGGCACCTCTCTTGAAAACAGAGGTTCTTGAAGGCCAGGTGGGGCTCGGGGTGGAGCCGGGCTGTTGTCAGCCTCCCCCCACTTCACAGGGAAAGCAGGGTGGGTGAGAAACTGAGATGGTGGGGCGGGTGGGTGGGGAGGAAGGTGCCTGCTCTGACTTTGCCTGACTTTGTGGGTCACGGTCACGCATCCAAGACTGTCAACAGCGTGTGCCTGGTGACATTGCTTCTCTGCATCGTCCTTTCTATGCCACGTCTGTGCGCGACAATTCTGGGGCACCAGACAAGAAAGAAAATCCAGGGACTGAGTTTACATCACTGACAATTTCAGAGAGGCTGCACTAGACCCTCTTTCTCTGTCTAACTAGTGAACATAAAGGGAGACAGACGTTTTAAAAAGGAAATACGAATGTTTTCAAAATCCTGTTACAAACACAACCTGAAGTTTAGAGCCCGTTACAGGTAAAGTCCGCACCAGTTTTGCACCAACATCTCCCGACCAGGGTCACTGGCTTTAAATTCAAACCAACTAGTGAGCAGGTGTGTCTCACAATCACACTCACGTGCACTCTCTGGTTAACATTTTTATTACAGTATTTCCTTTTAAATTCATTCAAGACAAAAAGACAAGACAATGGTCCCGGAAGGAATGCGTGAGTCGTCGAGTTTACAGCAGATTCTTCTCTGTGGGGATTGTGCTCTTGGTCTCAGCAGTAAGTGAAGGAAAGATCTTGCCCTTTTGTAGTTCGGGGTGGGGGGGCGTCCACGTTAGTCGGGTGGATTGGAAATGCTGTCACTGAAACGCTTCGGGGTGGGGTGGTCTTCCAGTCACCGTGGCGTCCACCTGCTGCTTCAAACAGAGTGTAAACAACCCACAATGAACAGCCTTACACTTGGATGTGTCCTCAGAGCTGCGCTTCCTATGCTCCGAGGCACATGACGCGTCCCTTACTGCAACTTTCCACCCACCAACTTCATCTCAGAACTCAGCAGGAAACCACGCAGATGCTGTCCGCGTATCCCGAGAACTACATGCAGGATGTGCGGGGAAGGGCACTGGGCTGCCTCCTTACCTGCTGGGCTTAGTTCCAGATCTTGAGGAAGCTGTCCCAGGACCCTGTCGCCACAGCCATCCCATCGTCAGTCACCCCCAGGCAGCTGACACGGTTGTCATGCCCAGCCAAGACACCTGGAAGTGATGACAGCAGTCACTCTGGGGCCCAGTGACGCAGTGACACTGAGCAGACTCAGAACCCGCTGCAGCCCATCTTGCGAGGACACCAGGAAGGGTCTGGTTCTCTGGAAATCAGGCTGAAGCCCAAGGCGCAGGGGACCAGGGCGCTTCTGTCTTAGAAAAACTGTGGGCACATCTCCAGCCGGGACAGGTGTCCCCACAAGACACACTGCAGAACCACTGGTGATTAGCCTGTCCCAGGCAGCACGGTGACAGGAACAGGCAACCAGGCGCACGTGTGCGGGGAGGGGCGGGGAGGGGACGACAACGACAACACACACACGGATGGGGACAGACGGACGGACACACACACACACACACACACACACACACACACACACACACACACACAACACACACACACACACACACACCCCTTGCATCAGCTCCTGCGTGCTCCCAAAGGTGAGAACTGAAATAAAACCCCAAGCTACCTCAGTCTCAGGCAATTACCACCCTAGAGCGTAAGCTGCGAGCTGCCCTTCCTGCATCTGTGACCCCGGGGCCTAGTGCAGGACACAGGACATGAGGCTGGTGCCGGCCGTGGCCAGAGAGGGCCATACAGAGACGGGTGTCCTGTCGGCACTCGGAGGTCTGCACTTCGATAATCGTCAGCCAGTATCCCCGTCCTCCCAGAGGAACTGAGCGCTGACTTCAGAGACCCCCACCCGCGTCCGCCTCCTGCACTCATCAGTCACAGCTGAGTGAGAGACTGGCTCCAAGGTGGAGCATGGCTCTCCACGGCCTTGGTCGGCATCTAGGCTCCTCAGCTGCACCACGACCAGGGAGCCGTTGGGGCCTAGGCAGAACGAGAGGAGAGCTCTCCCAGGGCAGGGAGTGGGTCCCTTCAGAAGCAGAAGCCAAGGTGAGACCTCGCAGGTACCGGGGTCCCGCTCCCTGAGCACGGAGATGAACGGAGCTCCACGACGCCGTGCCACGAGCCCCACCCCGGAGGCCCTCATCTCCTGCCGCACCTGCACTGTCATGTACTCGAAACCACCTGCCTTGGCTGTGGGACTGCGGGCGCTACGCCGCACTGGGCACACCACCCGGGTCTGTCTCCACGTGCAGCATGCACCACTGGACGGGAGAGAGACAGGCAGAGCCTGCGCACCCAGCCACTCACGTGTTCCCGCCAACGTGGCCGTCCCTGGGCCCCTCGCAAGTGCGCAGGGGCAGCCAGAGGGTGGGTGCTTCTGGCCTGTCACCTCCCCTGTCCGGATTGCACCATAGGGCTGGCAGTGCACTCAGGGGTGGGCGTTCCTTGCCAGCCTGACCCACTGAAACCTACACCGTTCAGCCTGTGCGAGGAGCCACACGCAGCCTAAAAGACGCGGCCTGGGCGGCGCGGAGCCAGACTGGCCCGACGGTCACCCACCTGCCCTGTCGGCTTTGAGCGCGTCCCAGACATTGCAGTTGAAGTCATCGTAGCCCGCGAGGAGGAGCCGCCCGCTCTTGGAGAAGGAGACGGAGGTGATCCCGCAGATGATGTTGTCGTGTGAGTAGGTCATGAGCTCCTGGTCAGCACGGAGGTCGAACAGCCTGCAGGTGGCGTCGTCCGAGCCAGTGGCAAACGCGTTGCCATTGGGAAAGAACTGGAGAGAGGGGAAGCGCACAGACCGAGGCACCAGGTCAAGTGCTGGAAATGGACCGCCCGGGGACGGGGCTACTGCTGGCACAGAGCCAGACACCAGCAAGGGCGCGACTCTGGCAGGACCCAGAGGCCACTCCGCAGGGACAGGGGAGCGGTCTGGGGACCAGGACATGGGGGTCTGCGCTGCATAAGCCGCAGGATGCCTCAGACACAAGGAGCACATTTCGTTTACTGACTGTTCCACGGGGACATAGCAATCAGGCTGACCCGGGAAGGGACCCCCGCCAATCAGACATGTCCCTGCATATCCCCCATGCAGGCCAGGCCCCTCGAGTCCGGCGATGTGCACAAGTGAAGCCCGGCCTGCAGAGGCGCACGGTCTGCCTCCACCTCCAGGGAAGCCCCAATTCCCCAGGGTGGGGAGTGGGCCCGGCACACAGCAGACACCGCCAGCGCCTGTGAGGCACTTGGTATGCACATAGCAGCCGGCCCCCTGATGACCGACCACGTCAAACCTAACTTTCTTCAGGGAGCTTTGGGTAAATTTGGTTGTATTTGTATAAAAAAAGAGAACGTCTAATCCCCAGAACATTTTCAAATGAAATGATGTATTCTATGCGTCATGGTAACAACTATCCTGACTGAACAGCCGCAGGGGCCCCCGACCCCCATCGCAGGCCCCCAGGACTCACACAGATGGCATTGATGTCGGACTCATGGCCGGTGAAAGTCTGCCGACACATCCCTTCTCGCACATCCCAGAGTTTGGCTGAAGCATCACAAGCACCAGAGACAAACAGCCTGGTGTCAGGAGCGAGAGAAAGGCTCATCACGTCCCCGGTGTGTCCGGTAAACGTGGTCGTCTGCTGGCCGGTCTCGATGTCCCACAGGGCGCTGTGGCAGGAGACATGACAGGCAAAGTCACCGAGCTTTGTCAGCTAACCAGTGACAAAGTGTCCTTCAAACCACCCAGGACCACGGTAAACCTCTGTGCTTTTACTTAAGACGAAGCTCAATTTGTAACGTGACTGTGTTTGGTGGGGAACAGCGAACATACGAAAACCAGGTGCATCCTCGGCTGCACGTTTGAGTGACTGTGATCTCCACGTAACCGGAAACACCAACAAAGAGGAAGCCAGTGCCCGTTAAAGCAGGGACATGGGGGTGGGGGACCTGCCACACACCTGGGCTACGTGTGGACTCCTAGGGGCTGTGGGAAGCTCCTGGCTGGTGGCCCAGCTAGGGCAGAGGACAGTCCTGTCTGTTCTGCCAGCTCAGTGCCCTCGGGAGTCCTAAAGCTAGGGTGTGGGGACAACGCCAGGCAGAGCCGTGGCTCGGAGCAACACCGAGGAGATGCCGACCACAGGGGAGCACAGTGTGCCGCTCCTGTGCGCCAGACCCACGGAAGGCCAAGCCACTGACGGGCTCCTTTCGCCTCAGGCCTGATTAATGTCCAGATTCTCGTTTCCTACCTGCCTGGAGCTGCAGACGGTAGGTGAGCAGTGTGAGAAGGGTACTCACCAGGTAGTGTCTCCAGAGCTGGTGACGATCTGATTGTCATCCAGGAAGCGACAGCAGGACAGGTAACCTGGAAAACAGACCCAGACGATGAGCCCAAGCTGCAAGCCCCACGACCCCAAGGCCTTGTAAGTAGAGAAGCCGTGGGCAGAACGGACGCCCCTGGAGGCCCACACCTCGGGGAAGACAGGTGCCTGGTCAGCTCCAGGCCCTGTGTGTCCACAGGAAGAAAGGACAAACAAAGCAGCATGTCACACGCACTGCTGGGCTGAGCCCCAGGGCATAGGACACAGGAGGCTGTGAGTGCGGCCCACACGGCCATGCCTTCCCCACTCTTCTCATCACCACAAGGCCATCCCACTTGCTCGCTCAGCCACTCTCTCCACAGAATGCGCCAGTGCAGGGAGAATGGTGGGAGGGACCAGGTATTGGTGGGGAGCAGGGAGAGGGTGGTGTGCAGAGGCCCTGAGCCCTCCAGGAAGGCACGCCGAGCAGGGTGGTCTGTTTCCTACAGGACAGAAGCTGTGGTCTACTGAGCGTGTGGGAGGCCAGGCAGAGCCATGGCGCCATGGTTGGGGTACAGCGGGGCGTGTAGAGACACCTAGCCATGAGCAGCTAGGAACCAGGAAAGGCACAGGGCTGGACCGCGCACTGTGACTTCTCCTCCATCAACTCTGCTGACCAGGATTCCGCTTTTTGTCCCAGTGAGTGACCCTGAGCACCAGCAGTGCGTCAGTGTGATGTCAGTGGGCGGGTAAGGGAGACACAGCAGCACGGCTGCTCCTGTGGGCATCGGGCATGCTGCCAGGCCCGCCCACGCCCTGGAACCTTGTCCGCAGTCCACACCAGGGCACGTGTGACGCTGCCTGAGTCGGCAAAATCAGAAGCAGAAGAAACCCACTGAAGGGTTTGGATGTGCAAAGTGAAGGTACCAGAATATTGGAAAGCAACGCAGTTCTCTAACAACTGTTACTGAACTGGCTCCCAAAGAAAAAAGAAAAAACACTAAGAGATGACGATTTCTAAACACCAGCTCTGTGTCTAGAACAGAACATGTGCTCACACACTTCCTGGAGGCCAGGCCATGTCCACAGGGACACGGCAGGCTGCGTGACGCAGGAGCAGCCAGCAGGAAGGCCAGGCCCACACGACCCTCGCCTCCGTCCGCTGGGCTCCCTCCAAGAACAGCATCCCTTCCAGGCACGCTCAGCTCAGCCTCTCAGTGAGCGTCACGGTGCCTCCTTCCGGGAGCAGCCCCACTGTGAGGTGCCCACTGGACAGGTCCAGGACCCTCATCGCACTGTCACAGCCCTCAGCCCGCCTGCCTGTGAGCACAGGGTTCGTGAACAAAAAGCATGACCTCAAAGGTTACCTGTCTGACCTTGTGCAGCTCTGGCCCAACCACACGGTGCCCAGACCCAGATCGAATGCTACGAGCATGGCTCGAGCCTGTGCGACACGTGTCGAATGCGACACGACCTGGACTCTGCAGGGCCTCAGAGGTCAGCAAGCACCGGCTGCGACCATCAGGAAGTGGAAGGGAAGGCTGTGGGGTGACCCCACCTACGGAACAGTAACTGACACCCAGAGTCAAGGCCGCTACAATTCCCAGGCCCAGGCCGCGTGCGGTGTGGAACTGGGGCTGAGGGCGCAGAGCCCGCCCTCCCCACCCCGGGCACTCAGAAGGCTCATCCCCAGAGGACAGGAGGGAGGATCCAGAAGGCGGCGTCCTGCTTTCACTTGCTTTTCTTTTTTTTCTGTTAAACTTTTATTGGGGAACAGTGTGTCTGTCCCGGACCTATCAGCTCTAAGTTAAGTCGTCTTCAATCTAGCTGTGTGTGTGTGGGGGGGGGGCGCAGCTCCTGGCCCACGTGGGGATCGAACGGGTAGCCCTGGTGTTATGAGCCTGCGCTCTAAGCACCTGAGCCACCCGGCTGCCCGGCTCTCACTTTCTAACTTCCTGTAGTTTGATCTTTCAAATGTATTACTTTTAATGAAACAGGGTGAGGGCTGCCAGCTCATATTCTTATAATTCATTTGGGTGCTCCTGGTATTTTGTACATGGAGGGGGAAAGCAGTAATCAGGTGGGTAGCATGTTTTACAAATTGTTTCTCCTAGAAAGAAAAAGTGGAAACTAGGACCGAGTACCACACCTGACAGCACTGGGATAGGACCCATCCCGTACAAACACGATGGTACAGCCTGGGGGCCCCATGAGGGTGCCCCGTGTTCCAGGGATGGACAGCATTCCAGGCCGTCCAGCGGGAAGGCGGGCTTGGAAACCAGGAATGCCGTGCTCTGTTCTCAGCGTGGAGACTGCCCAGAGGGAAATCCCATAAGTTCTCTCAGGAGCCTGTCGGCCCTTGTGAACTGGGACAACTCCAGAGAACTGTTGGGAGAAACAGCTGTCTGTGCACTCAAGAGATTCTCAAAACCCAGTGGTTACCATCTGTATTATTACTGAAGAGTGGACAACTTCCCTGGGGTGTGTGTGGGAGAGAAGTCACCTCAGGTGGCGAGAGAACCCTCTCCGGGGGGGGGGGGGGGAGCGGGCAGGGGAGGCAGGGTGTGTATGTGTGTGTGTGTCTGTGTGCGTGAGCGCGCGCATGCACACAGCCTGGTACAGGGATGAGGCTGCAACAGTCCAGAGAGAGGAGGCAGTTGAGGTGAGCCGGGCAAAGCAGGTACTGAGGTGAGGACCATGGAAACGCGCCCCAACGAAGGAGGTGGCCGTCCTGACAGCACGTCACCAGGCTGGGCACCGGTACCAGAGAAGTAGACACGCTCACCTCTTTATCTGGAGGAGCTGCTGGTGACCAGTGTGCACAGAAGCCTGTCCATGCGCAGCCTGAGATCACAGAACACAGCCTGGTAACTTATCCCAAGACAGTAGGGTGGCTGGGCCAGTGAGCTGCGCCTGAGCTGAGCTGCCACTTGGCTGCCAGATTGCTCAGCTGGTGAGAGCACATGCTCCTAACAACAAGGTTTCTGGTTCGACTTCCACACGGGATGGTGGGCTATGCCCACCCGCAACTAAGACTGAACACAGCACCTTGAGCTGAGCGGCTGCAAGCTGCCGACGGGGACTGGATGGCGACTGGACTTGGAGCTGAGCTAGCTGCGCCCTCCACAACTAAGATTGAAGAACAACAACTTGGCTGTTCCCCTTCCCCGATTCCCCAACACTGTTCCCCTTCCCCAATTCCCCAATAAAATCTTTAAAAAAGAAAAAAAGACAGTGGGGCGGCTGGAGAAATCTTTTATCTCCAAGAATAAGGTTTGTACCAGTAACAACAGGAAACTGCCTGAATGTCGAACAACAGTGACACATTAGCATGTCACACTCTTTAAAAATGACACTAGTTCTGAGTGAGAGCACAGGTCAGAACACAGGTGAAGGTGGCTCACTGTCCTAAATTCCTGGAGTGAACGCATGCTGTTTGTACCCTTTAACCCGACTGCACTGTGGAGCGCATGGGGAGCCAGGCCGGCGCTCGCTCACGGTTCGGCTGCAGTGGGACAAAAGCAAATGGCTGCCGCGGTGGCTGCTCGAGGGACGGACTGTGTGGGCTTGGCACCGAGGACAAGCCACCGCTCTCCAAGGCTGCAGAGGAGGAGCAGAGCACGTGTTCTTCAAGACGTTTGGTGAAGAGGAACAAGAGAGACTGACGTAACGTGAAGATCGAAAGTGAGGAAATGCCGAAGAATGGTTTTATTAGGAGGAAGGACTCCTGGCACCCCAAGCAAGGCCAACTTCTAATTCTGTTCTGCTGAAAGCTGGACTCAGCGTGAACAGACGCGGAAGGGAAACACCTTTAGGGCCTCTTGCATTCTCAGCCTCGGGCTTTTGCAGCCCTTCTCAGGACTCACCACCACCAGGATGGTCTGACACCCCGATCTGGAGTCACAATCCCGGCAGCTGGCCAGGCAGCTGTGGAACCGCTGTGGCCAACAGCAGGCACGACCAAGATTCGTGGTAACCCTGGGAAAAGGGGTCCTTCCTCTGCTGGGGTGGCTCAGCGGGCAAGATGGAGAGAAGGTTCAGGGAGCCAGATGGAGGCCATGGGCCAGCATGCACCAACAGGAGGTGTCGCGAGCCCCCCCGCCTCGCCGTGTCACAAGTGAGCAGTGGGACCTGAGTTCCCAAGGCTGTGACCACAAAAAGCCTAAATCAGATGTCACTTTTAATCAACCACCAAAGAACAGCCCATGGCCTCCTGGAGCAGAATGACCAGGAGACATCCAGCTTTGCTAGCGGCTGTCAGGGAAAAAAGCAATTCACGGGCGGTGGGTCCGACCACCGTGCTTTCATATGTATAAATTCAGCCCCTCACGGTGTGAACAAAGTACCCTAAAAAGCGGAGCTTCAGCTGCCACAGCAGGTTCTGGCAGAAACGAAAGGCAGTCACTGAGCAAGGGTATCACACGGTACCCAGGAAACGTGGGAAACTCCCACAAAACGTTTCTGCATGTGTGGCCATTGTGACCAGAATGACCTCAGGAGAGGTAAGAGTGTCTACAATGTGATGCAAGGTTCAGGGAAGAAGAAACCTCCACGTTAAGCCACGGGCTGTGCTCTGAAAATCTCCTGTGGGAAGGTGCTCTCGTCAGAAACTAGTGCCGCAGTCCTTGCTCGTTTCTCAAACACGATCTAATGCCTCTGAATTACCACTCCCACAGAAACAGCACTTGCTAAGTTTAATCCTCCCTGTGACAAACGTACCGCCGTAACAACGTCCGTCCCGATCACAGAATTCACCCCTCACCTGTGCCCTTCACTCTGTGAGGCCGATCTTAACAGGCAGAACCCCCGCCAGGCCCAAAATGCCTGATGTCTCCTCTCTGACCCACAGGCAGTCTTCACTTCACTGTGCTTCGCAAAGGGTGCGTTTTCTACAAATCGAAGGCTGGACCCTCCACCAGCGAAAAGACTATGACCTGCTCGCTGCCCTCGTATCGCGACGCTCACTTTACCACGGTGCTCTGGGGCGAACCCACAACATCTCCGGGGCGGGCCGTGCCGCTCACACACTTCCAAATCCCGAGTGGCCAGCTCTAGGGAAAGAAGTTTCTCCTGGTTCCACATGGGCCCTTCTTTTCAGGGGAACAGCAGCAACACACCCCTGAGCCCAAGCGCCTCCTTCCAGCCCGGATTCCCACCCCCACACTGCCAGGCACTGTCACGGGGGAGGTAGAAGGCCTGTTGAGGGCACAGCTCAGCTGAGGTGTGTGGGCAGCTGAGTCTCTAAGATTCGACAAGAAGGTCTCCCGACCATGGTTTACCAAAGCATTCGGAAGTCAACCCTCAGGCCAGAAAGAAAAGGGCCCAGTAACGTGCTCTAATCAGCAGATGCCGCCACACCTTTGCTCCCTGACAGAAGTGTGGCTGTTGAAAATTACCACATTGTAACCTTTACTGGTTGGAGCTGACAATTATGTATCCTATCTGAAGACAGTCACACTCTTAAGGGACCAAATGTTTATTAAAAAAACAACACTCAGCTCCCAAAAGTAAAATTTCATGATTAATGAAGGAAACCAAATTTCTAAACTCTTCCCTTTAATAGCTAGTTTTCTTTCAACAAACACAGTGTTAAAAAATCCAGAAGCCTCTGATTAAAAATGGAAGCTGGCACACTGAACCTGATTAGAAACGAGACTGAGAACCTCAGAGGACGCACGCCGGTGCAGTAAACACAGAATGCCCCAGTTTACCAAGACAGGCAGGGGGCAGCGCTTTCCAGCCCCAAAAGCAGCCTCCCCCAGAAAACCACTATGAGCTCAGGACGAGTATAAAGACAAATCCCTGAAGGACCTGGCACCAAATGCAGACAAGCCAGGGGAACCCACAATGGAAGAAGGAAAGGCACCGCCAGAACGCAGGCCCCCATCCCCCACCGGCAACGGCCACGTGGCTACACCACAGACCTGAGAGGTTTGTGGCCCAACCTGCCTGACAGCCCGTAGACAGAGTCCTGGGCAACCGCAATCAGAAAGTGAAAGGAAAGTCAAAGGACGGGCCCCTGAGGCAGTCCCCAACTGCCCAACACCTGACTCACACCTGAACCCCAGCCAGAGCTGGCCCTCATGGCTCGGCTGACGGCTCGGCTGACGAGAGCAAGCCCGGAGCAAACACCAGAGCAGAAGAACACAACAGAACCAGCCCCACAGCACAACACCGATTATTCAAGGCACTGAGAAATAGGAACATGTCACCATACTCGAGAGAAGAGAGCCACCAGGGCCAGCCTTGAGGGCTCACTGCTGGAACTGGGAGACAAGAACTCGAAAGGCAGCTCTTGGAACCGTGCTCAAGGATACCCAATGTGCTCGTCATGAACACAAAGGCAGGAAATCGCAACAGAAGAATAAGGACTATTTTCTAAAAAGCAAACACATTCCAGAGCTGCAATGAGAACATGGGACGTAAATGGTCTGCTGGGTCGTCTTAACGGTGCTGGAGGGACAAAGCCACGTGACCCTGAGGACAGACCTGAAACGAGCGAGTCTGAAGAACAGAGACTAGAGGCACAGCAGCCGAAGGGACATCCAGCCTGAACCACACCTCCTGGGCACGACGGGCAGACCACAGAACAGGAAACACACGGGAAGATGTGGCCGAAAATATCCCCAGTTTAGTGAAAGACAAAACCTTACAGGTCCAAGATACTAAAGCAGAAGAGATACAAGAATCACGACAAGAACGCCACAGTGGAGCTGTTAAGCAACAGGAGGATCTTTGAAGCGCCAAGAGAAAAAGTCAACTCAGAATTACATCCAGCAAAAGCATTCTTTTGAGAATGGAGGAGAGCAAGCCTTTTCAGAAAAATGGAAACTGAGAAAATGCAGTGTTAGCAGACCCGCACAAACTCTGAGAACTGATAAACAGTTCACCCAGCTGAGGGGCCCCGAAGGAAGCCCACACTTTTACAAGGGAGGAAGAGCACAAAAATGGTTCGTATTTGAGTAAATGTATGAGACTATTTAAATTTCTTCTAATGACTCCAAATGTTTAAAGGGAAAATGTAACATGTATTGTGGGGCTTATACCACTTGTAGAAGGGCAGGAAATGACCTTTGCGGCTGAAAGGTCCTTCATTTTAAGTGAGTCGATACAGTGTTAACTTGGAGTGGGCCACAAAAAATTACAGATGTGTGCAGTAAGCCCTACACGAACTGCTATAAACACAATGCAGATAGAGTAAAATAGAATTTGAAAAAGCCGAGTAAAAGTCCCAAAAAAAGGCAAGAAAGGAGGGCAAGTGCTGAATGACGGAGCTTAATTCAACTGTACCAACGTCACCAGATGTGGAAATAAATTCCATGCTGTGAAAGGCAGAACCACCCCCACGGCTGTCTGGAGGGGGCTCTCCTGATCAACACTCAAGTGGAGAGAACGCAGATGGGAACACCCCCCGCAGGCCTAGCATGGGAGGCCGGGCCGGCTATACTAACAGCAGAGACAGCCGGCTTCTCTTCACTGTGACACCTGGGTCCATCCATCAGGAGAGTCCACAATCATAAACGTACATGCTTCTACTAACAGAGTTCAAAATGTGTGAGGCGGAAACTGACAGAACTACAGGGAGGGGGAGAAAGACCGTAGGTAACCAGAGACTTTCACAGTCTCCCTCGGCATTTCACAGAAATGAGCTGCAGGCGATCTGAACAGCCGCCAGTCTCGCCCCACCTGATGCACTGAGAACCCACCCACCTGCGGCGGGACGGACTCCACTTCCAGGTGCACGTGTGGGGTTATCGTGACAGGCTGTTTCTCCATTAAAAACATGTCTGGATAAACTTTACAATGTTGGAAGGACACAGTGTGTGTTCTCTGAACACAATGGCATTTAAAAGGACAAAGGATATGCTCTCAGCCCGCCCAAGTTAACAGATGAGCGTCGAAAGCAGGGTCATTTAGTCCATTAGTGATGGCCGTTTCTCGGGGTGCCCGTGAAGGAGGTGAGCCCACTGGGGTGGGACTTTCAGAATTGAGAATACAGCCACAGAAGGAAATATCATAACGAGACTTTTTTCAGAAACACTGTGCCTTTTGTCACGAGTAACAACTGTCACGGGTAAAATGAACTTGGGAAAATAACAAGCCACCCCAAACTTAGAGCTGGTGTGTTCAGAAGAACTTAAACAGCCCCCAGGACTCTACTCTGTTCCCTCTGCAACAAGAGTGCTGGTGTGAAGACGTACAAAGCATGTGAAGACACTCAGTAAGGATGTGTATGGATAAGGACCTGGCGCACACACATGTGCACACAAATATACACATGTGTACGCATGTTTACACACATGCATATTTCGATCAGGAAAACCTTGTGGAAAGGAGCTCAAGATGAAGACGGTTCAGGAGATAACAGACTGAACTGTCCACACTGATAGAAAAACGGGTGACTGCCGCCTATCAAGGGCGTGAGCTAAACACTAGAGTCCCTGGAAAACGAGACGCTGCAATGACTTAGCTCCAGGTGTCTCTCAATGGTGCAGGCCTGTCAACACCTGTCCCTGGTTCCACTTTCAGAGTATTTTTGGCCATTATCGCCACCAGTCTCATTAAACAGCTCCTGAGAAGAGGTCTGTGTCCGAGCGGGATGCACGCCAGGCACACAGCCGGTACCGCCCTGAGGTTCCCGTTGAGAACGTGTACCTGTGTGTCCGGCCAGCTCACGACTCACACGGACGTTCCCTTCTCGAGTTTTCAGGTTGTAAATGGAGCAAATGTTATCCAGGCCACCGCAGGCCACATAGTTCCCAGAAGGGGCGTACGCACAGGTCATGACCCACGAGGAACGCAGAGGGATGGCGTGGACCTGAGTGACAGAGCACACGAGATGCAATGAGCTCAACTACTCAACTTAATCTGAAAACAATTTATACGTGTGGCCAGTCAGGTAAAGCAGTGGTTTAATTAAAAACCCAAAGCAGCACAGCAACTTAATCTATGGTTTTATTCAAGTCCTACTTATGCTTAGGCAACCACTTATGTAACTAGGACAGCCTCCTCATCAAAATTACGTATTAAAACGAAAGCAGGTGCCTTTAATATTATTTTAAGGCATATCTGCTCGCAATAAATTCACTTAATCTGGGCCGGCCGAGTAGCTCAGTTGGTTAAGAGCTCCTTCAAGAGTACGAGCTCTGAGCAACAAGGTCGCCGGTTCGATGCCCGGCCGAGCTGAGCTGCCCACAGGCAGCAGGATGGCTCAACTAAAAAATAAATAAATTCACTTAATCTTAAAAAACAAAAAACCGTGGCTATAAATCATTTACAAAACACGTTTTTACTGAAGTGACGAAACTAGACATTATTGTAACGAATCCTCCCTATGCCTCAGGTAGATGTTATAAATACTCAATATTTGATACACATTTAGTATTCGCCAGTAAAACACAACTAAATTTGATCTTGTAAACACATTTGGACCAACGATAGTACTTTTTCACCCAATGTGATACAACCTTGGATTAAGTTTTCAAAAGAATTTCATTTATACGTCAAAGGACAACGTCTTTCAGATGATCCCTTGTAAAAACTAGTAACTGCATGAAAAGCTGTACTTCTGCATTTTTCACTGAAATGTGACATTTCTCAGATTGAGCCCAACCTGGAATTCAGGTGCTAGACACGTGAAGGAGTCACCACATCCCACTGCCCTGTAGAGCCCAGCCCGGCCGCAGGAGACCCGAGTACTGTGTGCGTGCCACCCGACCTGGCTTCTGGCTGAGAAAGCCTCTGACCACAGCCACACTCGCTGTGCCCCTCTCCCCATCCTGCTGCAAGGGTCATGTGAGTGAATCCAGGCCACTTCCAGGGAAGGCAGCTTGTGGTCCCTACCTTGTTTGTGGTGTAGCTGTCCCAGATGATAAGTTTACCATCCTGTGAGGCGCTAACCAGAAGCCTGGGGGAAGGACAAAAGCACACTGTTAGTGTGACAGCAACACAGAATCACACAGCCAGCCAGTGACGACTCCAGTGACAACTAACACGCACTTCAGTGTTACATCTGCTTCAGACAAAGCACACTTAATTATCGGCAAAAAAAGTTCTAATTGTTAGATCAACTTCGACAGCACAGAAGATAATACCCACAGACAACAATAGTTCAGACTCGAGCACGTGGTTTCTGCTCATCCTAAATCGAATCTGAGATACACAGATCTTTCAGGAGCCAAAGGTGGTAGGAAATAAGTTAGCACGCAATTTCTGTTCTATTCCAAAACCTGGAAAGCCGAGATGTAAAGGAAATCTGTTTTTAGATATTCCAAATTCCAAAAAACCCATGAGAATTTCCCAGACTGAGGTACTGGAGCCCAGGTGTCCTAGACACACTAGGGAGGCAATCCCACTCCACCTGTTTTGCAAAGTGACCACGTACAGCGGAGCTGGGCCTGGTCCAGCAGAAGACACTAGTAACCATCATGAATCTTTCTCCTGACTATTTTCTTGCTCTGGGCAACGGTGCTAAGTTTGGGACCTGCATGCTGACAGGTGGTTCGGCTGTGTCTGCAGAAGTAAGTTGGGAAACTGCAGAAGGAGAGCGTGACTACTGGGCAAAGGAACATCATGTGAGCGTCGATTCTCAGAAGTGCAGCAACTCGTCAGGCTCTAGGATCTTGATCTCCTCCAGGACGTGCTGTTTGCAAAAAACGGAGGGCAGGCCATGCAACTCCACCAGACACTGTCAGTGCAGTGATTGATGACAGGGCAATTATTCATTTTAAAGAGTTCATCAAAACAGATTTTAATCGTTTCAGCCATAAGAATACCTGGCTCCTAGCACTGATCAAAACCTGGAGATAGAACTCAAGTCACTCTGATAATCTGGACACTTTTCATCAAAACGTATGTTGGGATGCACCTCGCACAACCTCCTTTTTTACGAGGCGGCAACAATGAGTTTGGAACAAAAACAATTTTGGCACGGTTACAAACCTATGCCAGGACTAAAGCTTGCGCAGGCGCCAATGCCTTCTTTCTCAGGCGCAATGTCTTCAGGCGACTGCGGCATCTAAGTTCAGTTATGCACATCGCAGGCCCTAAAGGGCCCCTCAAATGGCCGCACTGTCTGTCTGGCGGCCCTCTAGCACAGGCTCTGTCCGGAAGCGCAGGACCAGCACAGAGCGGCTCACTCCCCAGGGTCACCTTCAGCGAGGCCTCCTGCGCAGACAGCTTAGTGTCTGCTAACTCGCCCAGGGTTAGGGAGAGAGACAGAAGCTAAGCAGCCCGCTGATCCTCCAGAAGGTGACAGAAGACACACCTCTTAATCCCAGGGGGTAACTGCTGGGGGGCGGGCTGAGCTTCGGGGGAAGCAGCAGTCAGCCCCCTGGATGGAAGCACTCACCCGGACGCACAGGCTAGAGGGGCCGGGGGGAAGCAAGGGCTCCAAGACACTGAAGCCCACGTGCCCAACGCAAGGATGGGCCTCAAGCCTGGCCAGTTAGCTGGGTTTCACTATCAAACGTAACGAGACTTCAGCAGACTTAAGACGGCAGAAAAGTTTGTTAGCTCATGTGGTAACAAGTGGAATGAAGGGTAAGTCCATGCACTGTTAACACACAGGTAGACACTTCCCGAGTGTATACATCCCACACTGGCACACGCACAGTGGGCCTCTCCAGCAGCTGGAAAGATAAGCTGCTCATCATTGCCAGTATGCCCGCGTCCACGAACTACACAAACATGCCAAAACAACTGCTACTCGTCAAGTTACAGCCCTGAACCATGAAAAAGAATCCAACCCTTGTTTATGAAGGCTAGAAGTATGAAAATGACGTGAGCAGAATGTACACCCAAAACTATAAAAACGATTCTGGACTTTCTAGAAAAAATCTCTGAAAAGCTCTGGATAGAGAGGTCCTCAGTATCATTTTTTGTTTTCTTTTGTTTATGATTGTAAAAAGGAGCCCCACCCTGCCCAAGAAAGAGAACGAGACCAACACAATACCCACCGGCTTCCACAGGGTCCCCACATCACCTGTTCTGTAGGCGACCACAGCCCTGGACCTGAGACCACTTCTTCAGGCCTCTGCTGTCCTTCCTTCCAACCCCAGGGCTTTCAGAGCGCAGCTCCTGTCTGAGCCCTGAGATGGAAGGAGCAGAAGGCCCTGCACCTGCTGATGGGGAGGCCTGGATGCTCTGGTCCCTGCCTGCCGTCCTGCCGCATCGTGAACCCCTCCTCATGTCCGCTGCTCCAGCCACACACTTCCACAGTTCCTGGAACACAGCTGCCTGCAGCTCGGCCTATAGCGCCCACTCACCCTTCAAGGCACAAGTGAAGTCTCCCCTCTGCGAGAAGCCTTCCAGACTCCCCAAACTAAACCCTGGCAGTTGGAGGAGAGCACATTTCTTAGGGAGCCAAGACGGCTTCCAAGCTCCAAGTATCAGGCTCTGAGTACCGGGCTCCGAGTACCAGACTCCTGAGCACCCGGCTCCTGAGTACTGGGTGCCAAGTACTGGGCTCCAAGTACAAGAATCCTGATTACCAGGTGACAAGTACTGGGCTCCTGAGTACTGGGCTCCGAGTACCAGGGTCCTGAGTACCAGGCCCAGGGGACCAGACTCCTGAGCATCGGGTTCCTGAATACTGAGATCCTGAGTACTGGGCACTGAGTACTGGGTTCCTGAGTACCAGGCTCCAAGTACAACCTGGCACAGCACTGTCTATCAAATGTCCTGGTGTGATCAGGACACTGGTGCTCCCACAGATGGAGGAAAAACCCCAGAGATAATATACTGTTTAGTTACCATCTACTTCTGACAATAAGTCTAAGGTAGATCAATTAGTACGGGCATTTTTCTTTATTTTTCCTTTTTTTATTCTTTCTGATGACTGACATCGTTTAAATGATCTAAGCTTTCATCTGCATTTGGAATTGTACAGGCTCCTGTATACAACAGACCAAAAATAGAATCTTTTGTTCTGTACCTGTTTACACTCTAATGCAGACAATTTCACGAACAAAGAGGAAGCTGATCTGAAAATTCCCCTCTGACAAACACAGAAAAAATGCTACTCAAAGAAAGGCATGTTAAGAATCCTGTGAGGGGCCGGCCGAGTGGCGCGATGGTTAAGAACTGGCTTGGGATACCAGAGGGCCCCAGTTCGGATCCCACAGATGAGGGCCAGTGACACTGCCCTCCATAGCTAAGATGCTGAACAACAGCTCAACCTGGAGCTGGGCTGCTGTGAGTCGCAGGTGACGGCATAGGCTGCAGCCCCTGTGGCAGTGGGTTGCCATGGGCTACCGTGTGTAGCCAGCAGCCAGCGTGAGCGGCCAGCAGCCGCTGTGAGCGGCCATCCAGAGGCTGGCGACTGATCTGCCTTGCCCGGGAAGAGCACAATTATGGT